GAGAGAGAGAGAGAGAGAGAGAGAGAGAGAGAGAGAGAGAGAGAGAGAGAGACAGAGACAGAGACATAGAGAGAGAGGGAGAGAGAGAGAGAGAGAGAGAGAGAGAAAGCGAGAGAGAGAGATTGGGCGACAAATCATTCAGGAGGAATGGTGGAATTGTCTCGAGCTCTTGGTGGCGTCCCAAGATTGCAGCGTGTGCAACAATATTGACCAAATTCAAGACGGCGATGGTCAAGTTCGCCGCATTCGAGACAATGGCACAACGCTTCGTCCGGCAGGTTTCCAAGGCGAGGTGTTGGATCATTACGTATAATACAGAACAAGGTTCAAGTCTTTAGCTCGTGTTGGCAAAGCACGACATCGATCATGGAGTGCACTTGCAGCTCGCGGGCCCGCGGGCGCGCGTAGCTAGCTGTTGTCTGACGTGCTTTGGTATTGGAGCAATTGGTCCAACCGGTGATATACGGACAGGCGAGCTGCAGTTGCGTTTGCGAGGCGGTTTTCTGTCCGTGTGCACTGGGGGCCAGCAGAAGAACGTCATCGACGCCATCCGATGCGTTCTTGTCAAGGGGTGGAGTTCCAAACGCTTTGCATAATCGCGGTGGGCCGCGGTCGGCTTCGCAGCGCAGGGCATGGCTTTCGCGCGCATCGTTCGCATGGGTAGCTTTGTTGAGTACGTCAGCCGAGAGACCAAGTCGATCAAGTTCTTCCTGCATGGGTGGTATACGTGTGGGACAGCGCTCGAATCCGTAGTCTTTCAGGCCCCGGTCGTTCGAGTAAGCAAGTGTCTGCGGGAGTTGCAGGCTGATGGAAGGGTGCTTAAGAACCCTTGGAATTGTTGCAAGATGAAATGAATTGGCCCGTGCCATGTTTGATGGAAGTCCTTTCAATCATATTGTTTTTTTCGCTGGCGCTCGGCAGCAAGGGAGGAGGGCCCCGGGCCCGACGAGCAGTCCGCGAACCAGATGTGGCAGTCGCTGGATTGTGGGCGCATTTCGAGACGTCTGGTTCGAGCACTGTACTGCAGGGCCTGGAGGATGTAGATATGGGCGACTGTGACGTCCGAGCAACTACACAGATCTGCTGCGCAGATAGTACGCCGACACCCAGAATGTGGATTTGAAGCTCTCATCGCCACGTTTGACAAACTATCTCATGGCCTTCGGCCCATTCCGCCGCCGCGCCTGGGTTGCGGGTCAGAGTTCTCGCGGGTGTTCTCGGGGCATCCTGGGAGCAAGTCTGGGGCCTCTCAGGAGCCGGGGGCTTCTCGGGGGCCTCCCAGGGCCTCTTGGGGGCACTTCGGGGCCGACCGAGAGTTCAAAATGTCGTTCGGGCCCCCATCTGGGCCCCCTCTTGGAGCCGTCTTTTGGGCTCTTCTCAGGCCGTCTTGGGCGCTAGTTTGGCCGTGGCGCGGCCCTCCAGGGCTGTTCTGGGGCCCTCTTGCAAGCTTTTCGGGCCGTCTCGGGGCGACCCCGCGAGGGCCCGCGGGGCCGTCCGGGGGCGCCGGGGGGCCGGGAAGGCGAGGTAGCCGTTAATTTTTCAACGACTGGAGAGAATTCAAGTGGGCTTGAGGTCCTCTTGGGGGGCCTCTTGGAGGCCTCGGCCCGTCTCGGGGCCCTCGCGGGCCCGTGAAATTCGCTCGCCGCCGCGCGCGGGGGGGGGTCGGGGGGGCGCGCGGCGAGCCCCGGTAGATTTCGGAGTTTGGAGCCCAGGCCCTTTGAAGACTCCTCGGGGTTGAGGGCCGAGGCCCAGGAGGCCGGGCAGAGGGCCCGAGGGCGCGCCCGCTCCGCGCGCGGAGGCGCGGCGGTGGATTGCTGGGGGCAGCGCCGGATGAGAAACGCTGGGGGAAGATGGAATGCGGCACTGCGAAGCTTCAACGGGGGCTGGCAAGCCCATTCAAGTCCGGGGGCAGCAGTTGTTTTTTTCAGGAGATTCGATGGGCGCGGCCCGCCAGATGCCTTGGAACGTCAAGCCCGTCGACGCGCGGCTGGACTCACGACCAGTCGCGCGAGCGCTTGGCCCGGCGAAGATGGGCAGGTCAAGCGGCGCCGCGAGCTCCAAGCCTAGGTGATCGACTGCTCGAAGCAGGAAGAGATCGGCGAGGGTGCCGGGCATTTGCCAGCGGCCGCGCGCGTCGGAGTAGACTCTTGATGGGGGCGGCGACGGCCGAGCCGGGGCGCTTGAGCGGCTGCCGGCTCGCGACGCCAGACCATGTTTCGAGTAGTTGCGGGGTCCAGCTTCTCGTCCGCAGAATTACGCGGCCGGCGGCTCAGGGCGCGCGCGGGTGCGCCAGATTCCCCGCGCAGTGCTGAGCGATAATTTTCGGGTGGGCGCGGCGCGGGGGCCGCCGCGGAAGGGCGCGGCCTCTTGGATTCAAATTGCGCGCGCCAGGCGATTATAATAATTACTGTATATATTTGAAAGGCCCCGTTTTACGCATCAACCTGCTTGGAGGGGGGGGGCATTCGCGTTCGCGTTCGCGGCGCAGCCCCCCTGGCGCGTCTCGATCAGCAAGTTTGCCAATTGCGCAGAATAGCAGTCGCGTGAACCTGCGGGGCCTGGAAACTGGGGCCGATTAACATTTGAAGATGTGCCCATGCGTTCGCAGTGGACTTCGCGCTCAGTGGGGGTGCTCGTGATCTGCCGAGTCTTGACAAGGATTAGGTTCGCGCGTTGACAGGCTCGCATATCAGTACCGGCGCTCTGGCGAGCCAAGACGAATTGGCGCAGTTGGATGCATTTGCAACGCCCTCGTCAGACCAAGAGCCAAGAGCGCAGCCAAAAAAAAAAACATTGCATGCGTTCGGAAGATCTGATGCGATTGCTGCCGCGGCTCCAGAAGCCTAGGGGCAGGCGCCCCGCCCCGACGGCAGCGGCGGGCTCGCCTTCTGCGACGCAGATGTAATCGAGGGTCTCAGCGATGAGGCGATCGAGGAGATCCTCAGAGAACTCGTGCTCGGCGACGACTTCCGCGCCAGAGTTCTAGGAGGGACTTGGACAGCGGCGCGCGTCGGCGACGCAACTGACGCGGCGGCCGGCGAGGCTACCGGCGCCCTGGCCAAGGCTTTCTGCCATAAGCGCAACTCGCGGAAGATGGCGCACTGCGATTGCACGGCGTACCCAGAGGGCGTGTAACCCAACCAATTCTAGCCAGGGCGCGATGCCAAATTATGCTTTACTTCTCCAATTGCGCTGCCCGTCGTGGTGATGATGCAGATAGTAGAATCACAGCTGCCGACGCAGCTGAGCATCTGGGCGCGCTGAAACCGACGATTTCGCCGGAGCCGCTGGCGAGATCGATGGCCGCGTCCAGGCCCACAACAGAGTCAGACAGATCAGGGCGCTATTTTGTGTTACGTGCATGCCGAATCGCGACATGAATCGAAACAAATTTGCTGTGGAGGAATTTGTTGGTTTGGAGGGCCTACGGCCTTCGGCCAAGCCGCCAGACCCCGCGATCGTCGTGAGGGGATTGCCGTGTTTGGCGCCTTTGGGTGGCCTGGGGTCTTCGGCGTCTGGGGCGCGCCTTAGGCGCCCTAGGGCGTCATGGGTCTTTAGGCGTTTTCGGCTGTCTCCAAGGAGCTCCAAGATCTCTGGGGCCCTCAGGCTCCAAGGGGTTCTACCTCCTGGGCAGGGGCCTGGGGCGTAGACGCCCTCGGCGGGGATTCGGCGGCTTCGTGCGGCCGGGGAAAGGGGAGGGGGAGGATTGGGGGGAACTGGGGGGCGGGCTGAAAGGGGATAGAGGCGGGGGGAGGGAGGGGTGCAGGAGGAGTAGAGGACGAGAGAGAGGCAGGGGGGCGGGAGGGAAGAAAGGGGTCGAAACACGAGGCGCACGGAGCGGGGTGGACGAGCAGGACTGAGGTGGATGAGGAGGAGATGCGTGGGGGGGGGGGTTAGGATGAGGATTCCGAGGTCGAGGTACATAGTTCGGTCGAAGCAGGCAGGCGTGCAGGAACAGGTAGAGGTGCATGCAGGTACTTGTATATTTTCGCGAGTGCATGCCTGGGTATATGTTCATACATGCCGTATGGCAACATATGCATGCGCTTCAGTAGAAGTTGACGTAGACGTTTGTGTATATTCGTACTTGTAGATGTATAATGTAACTACGTAAACATATGCATTCAGGCGTTGGTGAATACATATGTATGTTTCGTTGTGACTGTCGGTGCGTGTATGCGTATGTTTGGATGTATATGCACAGGTATATCAATTCATGTACGAGCATACTCGCCATATGCATCCCCCTCTTCCCCTCATTTATGTCCCTCCTGAAGCCTCTCCCTTCCCATCCTCCGCCTCGTAATATCCCCTTCTCCCGCATCATCCTTCTTCTTAGTCTTACTCCTCGCCCCTCCTCTTTATTCCGCCTCCCGCCCCCTCGTTCTTCCTTCCCTCCCCTTTTTCATCTCTTCCACTAAATGTGACATGCCACAAGATCATACATGCTTGTCCTACAAAGCCCCTGGCTATGCAGAAGCATTACGCCAATCTGCTCGGCGTACATGGGCAAGCCGAGCGTACCAGACAGCCCTTGGCATCCTTCCACGCCTACACGTGCATAGGGCACGCTGGCGGGCTCCAGACTTCCAGAGTTTGGTCGCGGGGCCCCCCCGACCATCAACAACAGACCACGGATGAAAAACAGGTCTTCGGGGAAGGGGTCCGGAGGTCTGATCGGGCGCTGTGCCATGGGCGGCGGGGAAGTGGGGAGGGAGACGTGCACCTTCCGTGCCCTTTTGGGGGGCCCATCGAGGGGCCATTCAAGGCACAACCCGTGCACCTCTCTTCGCCCCCCCCCCGCGCCCATAACGCAACGCTGAGGCCCGCGGACATCGTCGGATGTCTGGGTCGGTTTGGGCTTGTGTGGGTTTCGTGCGGAGCCCTCGCCGCCTGGGCTGGACTCGCTTCGGAATCCTGGGTCAGAATTCGCCTCAGGAGGGGCCCTAGGAACAGCAGTTGTATATCAGTATGTGTGTTTTCCTTCAGGGGGAGCCGGCATGGAGTGCCCCGGCGACTGCGACGAGGTTCGCGGAAGTGAAGTCCTACGCCGCGTCGCATCCCCAGGCGTCCGTTGGTTTTGTTGTTGTTTTGCTTTGTTTTTCGGCCAGGGCGATTTTCTTGAAGTTTGACGTCCCGCGGTTTCGAGCTCCTGGGCCATCACAATGGTTCCACGATGACAAGGATGCCCCTGGGGAGTGGGACGTGAGCTCTTGAGCCACGGGTTGAAGGCATCACATTGCAGGATGTCTGGGTATGCATCCAGACCTCCATCGTCCTGAAAACGCACTGGGCGTTTTTTGTTGAGTGTTTGGGTTCTCGGGTGTCCGAGGTGCAAAATGTGGTCGTGCGCTCTGGAGCTTCACGGAGTGAGGAAATCACGAGGTCGGAGGTCTAGGCACGGAGGTCCGGGCAGAGTCGCACCAGTCATCAGGGCCACCCCGCTTCTCGTTGTGGCCCCGCGCCCCGTCTGCAGCATCGGGGACCAGGGAGCAGCTCCTGACCGCCCCGGCACACGAGCGGATAGGAGCGGGGCCCTACCAGCAGCTTTGGGGCCATCGCTTGCCCGAAGTGTCACCAGGGGTTTCGCCCAGAAATCATGGCATGCCCTTTTCTAAAAAACTCAGACTTGGCTGTAGCAGAGCAGACTTGCTTCGGGTGTCTGTAGATGCTGTGCTGTAGGTACGGGCTTCTTTTTCCCCAAGCGGAGAATACTGTAAGGGTTGTTGAGCAGTTGTTGACAAACAGTGTCAGAGCAGGGCAAGCACTGATTCGGCAGGGTAATCGATGAGATATCTCTGAATTGGCGCCGACAAGCGCCGAGTAGCGTCGATCGGCAGGCGCCAACAAGATGGTATTGGAAGCTCACGCGAGTTGCCGCAGAACCCTGCTGACTGCACCACGCTGCACCCCAGCGATGGTGCAGTCGCGCGCGCCTCGGCGAGCACGCGGCGCGCCAGCCCCGCGAGAGGTGGCGGTGGCGGTGGGGGCGGGCCCCGCCCCAGCCCTCGACGCGGGCGGCTTCCGCGCCTACGCGGACCACCTCTGCGTGTCGTTCGGGGCGAGCCACGGCAGCCTCGCGTGGCCGCAGGGGCCCCCGGGGCCCGAGGCGGGGCGCATGCCGATCCGATCGATCCGCTTCGATGTCGAGGCCGGCCGGCCCGATCCGCTTCGGTGCCGGTATTCCGACGACCCGATGCGGCCCGACGCTGTAGCACGGCGCCGTTGCGCCTCCTGGCGCAGCCGATCCGGTTCGATGTCGATTCCGTGCCGATGCAGCTCGATCCGATGCACACTTCGGGTCGATCCGACGCTCGATCCGACTTACCGGTTCGATGATGGGGTTCGATGATGGCTGATCCTGCCCAAGGCGGGGGTGCCGCAGCTGCTGTGCCGGGCCTGCCGGCAGCCCGTGTTGCCCCTGCTGCCTGGCCGGCAGGGCCTCCTGCTGCCCTCGGGGAGCTGGCAGGCTTGCCTGGAGAGCCTCGCGTGCGAGGAGTGCCGTCCCCTGCAGGAGCCCCGCCGCTGGGGGCCTGTCCTTAGCAGAGGGAGAGTCTAGGCCTCCTAGGTGGGGTCGGAGCAGGTGAGGTCGGAGTAGATGTGTTCGAAGGATCGCGCCGCATCGCCGATGCATCGGCGATGCGGCTCGATGTGGAGTCCGATTTTGTCCACATCGATGCCGCTGGTGCGTCGCCGACGAGGTTGAACGCTGCCGGTGGCCCAGAATCGGCCGACATCCGAAGAAAAGAAACTACTGCATGCACATTAACTCTCGGAGCTCCGCGCGGATTTTTTGGGGTCGGCGCTGGGCCCACTGGCGGCGCCAGCGGGGCCGCCCCTGGCGCGCTCCGCGCGCCGGGAGGAGGAGGAGGAGGAGGAGGAGGAGGAGGAGGAGGAGGAGGAGGAGGAGGAGGAGGAGGTGGAGGAGGAGGAGGAGGAGGAGGGGGGTCCAGCGCCGATCCAAGAAATCCACGCGGGACTTCGGAAGGTCATGTTGGTGGAAATTGGTTTGTTCCTCTAGACATCGAGTGAGCTGTGCTTCCCCCAGCGCCTCGTAATCTTACCGTGCCCGTTCCAAGCAATGCCAGGCAATGCCGGGCAATGCCGGGCAATGCCGCAATGCCAGGCAATGCCAAGCAATGCCAGGCAACGCCAGGCAATGCCAGGCAACGCCAAGCACTGCGCCCCTGCAATAGGAAGCTTTCCCCCAATTGGGGGTCGCGCCAGGTTCATTTGCCTTCTTCGCCCTCCGGTGGCCGTTTGAGGGCCACGGGATCGTCAGAAACCCAGAGACCCAACGTATTGAAAAAATCAAGACGGAGGTGTTTCACAATTTTCGGCCTCAAGGGGCCCTCGCTGGGCCCCGGGACCGTCAAAAAACGACTCAGGATGAAAAACCGGTCCCAGGGGAACGGGTCGAGACCTCCAGAGGCCCCCGTATTGAAAAAATCACGACGTCGGATCTCTGGGAACGGGTCCGGGGTGAAGAATCGCACCAGATGGACCCCGGGAGGTGTCCCGGGACTGATTCGAGCGGATTTGCCTTCACCCCCCCCCCTCTGGACCGTTTTTCTCGGGGCCCAGCCAGCTCAGGCCCCCATGGCCGCCTCCAGCCCACAGCCCAGCGCGCCCCGAGGTTCCTCGGGGGCACGTCTCCAGATTGGTGGATCATGAGGTCGAACGCCAAGAAGCAACTGCATAAATCTATAGCTTTCGGAGGTCAGCGCGGATTTCCTGGGTCGGCGCTGGGGCCCCCCAGGCGGCGCCTCTGGCGCCCCCTCCTGCGCTCCGCGCGCCAGGGAGGTGGGGGGGGATCCAGCGCCGATCCAAGCCGTCAGCTGGGAATTCCGACAGCTCCTGCCCGTGCCTTTCAACAGACCAGCCCCCCGCGTTCCCAGACATCCGACGTCCCGATTTTTTCGAGACACGGGCCCCCGACCTCCCGACCACTTCCCAGGGGCCGGTTTTTCGTCCCGAGTCGTTTTTTGACGGTCCCGAGTCCCGGCGAGGGCCTCGAGAGGCCGAAAACCACGAAAAACCGTCATCTCGTTTTTTCGAGACGCACGACGTCTGGGCTGAAGGAGGGCCCTGGCGAGCCGGCCATGGACCCGGGCAGGGTGTACGTCTCGCCGCAGTGCCTGCTGGCGCGCGGCGCCGACCTGGCGGGCACGGCGTCCGAGGGCCCGGACGGCCTCGTGCGCTGCGGCTGCGGGGCCGTCGTCGGCGAGGCGGGGGAGCGGGCGGGCCGCCCTCCGCCCCCCGCCCCGTGGCCCTCGCCTTCGCCCCCCTCCTCCTCCTCCTCCTCCTGCTCCTCCTCCTCCTCCTCCTCCTCCTCCTCCTCCTCCTCCTCCTCCTCCTCCTCCTCCCCGTCCTCCCCCTCCCCGTCCTCCTCCTCCTCCTCCTCCTCCTCCTCCTCCTCCTCCTCCTCCTCCTGTGGACGGATGCCGCGAGTGCGCGCAGGCCCCCAGGAGCGGAGGAGCGGAGGGCCGAAGGAGGAGCAGCTCTCGGCGACGAGCCCGGGGGGGGGGGAGCGGGGGCGGGGGCAGGCCCTCTCGGGAGGCGGCGGGTCTCCGCGGGAGCCCGCGCGCCTTCCGAGGAGCCGCCCGCGGCTTCGGAGAAGAGGCTCACAGGGCTCCGCAGAAGGCGCGCGGCCTCTGAGACGCCCCGCCGCCTTCTGAGGAGGCCCGCCCCCTCTCGCTTCTCCCCTTGGGCTCGCCGCCGAAAGTTGCACCAGCACTGACTTTCGGAGGTCCCGCGGACGTCTTGGATCGGCGCTCGAACCCTCCCAGCGGCGCCTCCAGCGCCGATCGAAGAGCTGCGCGAGGATCTTGGACAGTGTGTGGCCTCTGCTTTGCCAGCACTTCCATCGAAGAGCCTCGTGCAGGCACGTTCCGACGCCAAATGGTGCAGAGCGTCTCGGGGGGCAGCCAGCACATGGCGCGACCCAGAAGGGTCTCCGCCTTCGAGGATCAAAGGAGTTGGCATCGCTGTCTCTGCGGAAGGCGGCGGAAAGGCGGCGGAAGCCGACGAAAGTCCTTCCAGACCTCTGTGCGTCAGTGGTTTCGAGAAATTCATGTTCAACCCTGTTCCTCTCCTTAAGAGAGGGGTTTATTATAGTTTTGATTGACATGCGCCCCCTCCCCTTCCCGACCAGCGGCAAACCTGGGACAACGCCACCCTCCCCCACCATGTTCTTTGGCACAAGACTACACGGAGTGCATCTTGCAAACCACCAACATCGGGATCTTGCGCAGACGCCCCGCGATCCCTTTGCAGGGGGTTTTGACGGCGGGGGTGCCAGCATCTTGCCTGCTGCGCGCATGATGACCATCCCTTGCAAGAAATAATGCAGACTGCACTCCGCGGCAAAAGTCCGGGTCACGCGCGGGCACCTCCCGCGATCCCTCGGCACTGGTTTTCTGGCAGGGACGCAGCGGGGGTGCTGGCAGATTGCCGGCTGTGCGCAGGCCCACCAGACATCCTGATGGCCACGCCGCCGCGATTTGGCACGGGCTTTCGACACGGATGGTGGGGGCCGAGATGCTTCCTGCTGTGCGCGGGCGCACCTGGTACACTCTGCGTGCGCCGAGCGTGGCGCACCTGGCGCGGCCGGAGCGTGCGGCACACTTGGCGCACGTGGAGCACGTGGTGCACCTGGCGCATCAGGCGTGCCTGGCACGCTTGGGCCCCAGGGGCGCTTGGCGCGCCTGGTGCGCGTGGCGAGCCTGGCACGCGTGGCCACAGCGTCGCGCGCCTTGGGTCTTCATTGGTTCCCAGTAGGTGCCCATCCAAAGACGGCATCTGAATCATGTATTGGGAGGGCGGGTGGGAGTGAACCGAACAGCTTGCGTCTGGGAGAGGGATCTTGATCACTGCTCCTGATTAGTATGCCCCCCCCACCCGACCGGCGACAAACCTGGGCCCATGACAACGCCCCCCCACCATTCTGTTTGTCAAAAACGAGGCAAAGTACATTCTGCAGTTAGATCCGGATCATGCGCGGACGCCCTGCGATCACTTGGCATTGGTGTGTGAGAGGGACGGCGGGGTGCCATCAGATAGCATGCTGCGTATAATGCCAACGCTCCCTCACCACCCGTTGCAAACAACAGTATGAAGCGCACTTTGCACCAAAATGGGATCATGTTCGAACGCCCCGCGATCACTTTGCGATTTTTACCCAACAGCTTTTGCTGATAGGTTTCCAGTGGTGTCAAAAGAGAGCATCTTGACGCCCCAGGGGGGTCGTGGGCGGAAGCCGGACAAGGAACCGGACAGATCCGCCAGCCTCAGGAATCCTTAGGAATCCTCGGGAATTTTTACGAATCCATAGGAATCCATTCCCAGAACAGCATTCCCAGGCCACATTTTGAACGCCCGGAGCCAGCTGTACGACACTTCGTGTTCTTCGTGTTCCCAGAACACCACTCCCAGGCCACATTTTGAATGCCTGGAGCCAACTGTAGGCCACTTCGTGTTCTTCGTGTTCCCAGAACACCATTCCCAGGCCACATTTTGAATGCCCGGAGCCAGCTGTAGGCCACTTCGTGTTCTTCGTGTTCCCAGAACACCATTCCCAGCCCACATTTTGAATGCCCGGATCGTGTTTCTATTGTTCCCAGAACACCATTCCCAGGCCACATTTTGAATGCCAGGAGCCAACTGTACGCCTCTTCGTGTTCTTCGTGTTCCCAGAACACCAGGCCACATTTTGAATGCCCGGAGCTGTAGGCCACTTCGTGTTCTTCGTGTTCCTATAAAACCATTCCCAGGCCACATTTTGAATGCCCGGAGCCAACTGTAGGCCACGTCGTGTTCTTCGTGTCCCAGAACACCATTCCCAGACCGCATTTTGAATGCCCGGAGCCAACTGTAGGCCACGTCGTGTTCTTCGTGTTCCCAGAACCGAGGCTGAGGCTGAGGCTGAGGCTGAGGCTGAGGCACGCCGAGGCTGAGGCTCAGGCTGAGGCTGTGGCTGAGGCTGAGGCAGGCTGAGGCAACTGTAGGCCACTTCGTGTTCTTCGTGTTCCCAAAACCGAGGCTGAGGCTGAGGCTGAGGCTGAGGCACGCCGAGGCTGAGGCTGAGGCTGTGGCTGTGGCTGAGGCTGAGGCAGGCTGAGGCTGAGGCAGGCTGAGGCTCATGCAGGCTGAGGCTGACGCTGAGGCTGAGGCTGAGGGTGAGGCCGAGGCAGGCTGAGGCTGAGGCAAGCCGAAGCAGGTTGAGGCGGAGGCTGAAGCTGAGGCAGGCTGAGGCTGAGGCTGTGGCTGAGGCTGAGGCAAGCTGCGGCTGAGGCAGGCTGAGGCTGAGGCTGATGCAGGCTGAGGCCGAGGCAGGCTGAGGCTGAGGCTGAGGCAGGCTGAGGCTGACAGATATGCTTATACACATCGCTGTTAGGTTACTTAGCCGGGATAAGTTTGTTTTGAAGAAGGGCGGGGTGCCATCATGTGGCCCGCTGTATGGACTGCCAACACCCCCAGCTACCCCTTGCAAGAAACAGCACAAAGTGCACGTTGCACCACCATCTGGATCATGCGCAGACGCCCCGCGCTCACATTGCATAGTTTTTGACTTTTTGACAGGGATGGCGGGAGTACCTGTTGTGTGCAGATGTGTGCAGGCCCTCAATCCGCGTCAACAACACATGCAAAGTGATCGTAGGTGCACACCCGCACACAATGCACAATGCTCGCGAACCCGCCGTCACTTTGCATGGATTTTCGCCAGGGACGGTGTGAGTGTCGACATGTTGCCCAAGTCAAGGTGGTGCACCTTGCGGGCTTCGGGCACCTGGCTGGCGTCTGCATTGGTTCCCGATGGTTGTCGGTGGCGGCCCCTGTCCATGCTGAGACTCGTGTGCCACGTATGTGTTGGGAGGGCGAGTGGGAGTGAGCGAGACGGATTGTTGCTTGTGGGTAGCTTGATCCCTCCCCGTACACCCACCCATGGACCTGGACGGGGGGCGGGCGGGGCGGCGACCCTCTGGAGCGTCCACGATGGCCCAAGGTGGCTCCAAGAGGGCCTCATCTTATGGCATAAGCGCCGTGGCGGGCGCTTTCTGACATACTGCTCGGGACACGATCTACTACAAGATGGTGTGCCATATGTCATGCTCGGGTTGGACGCAGGCCTCCAAGGAGGACATCTAGTACTGGCATGTCCTTGTGCGTCCCAAGCGATGCGCAGCAGGCGCAGCAGCCCGCCGCGGCCGCCGCGAGGGGCGCCAGGGGGGCGCGCAGGGCGCGCTTCGTTGCCGGCAGCGGCGCGGTCCGCGGGCGCTCCGCGCGGCACCGTGGCACCCCGGGCACAGCACAGAGCCACAGCCACGACCCAGGGGATGTTTCCGGGGGGCCCTCTAAGGAGAACTTGCCGAAGGAGTCAGAGGAGAAGGAGGAGGAGGAGGAGGAGGAGGAGGAGGAGGAGGAGAAGGAGAGGGAGGAAGAGGAGGGAGGAGGAGGAGGAGGAGGAGGAGGAGGAGGAGGAGGAGGAGGAGGCGACCTCGGAGTGAGCACCCGTGGGCGGCCTGTGCTCGCGGTCGGCCTGCAGGCCGCCCAGGGGCGCCCACCCCGCCCACGGCCAGCGCCGAGCTGCTTTTCCGGTGTGCGGACGACGGCTGGCACACGCCAGACCCCGCCCCCCCCCCCCAGGGTGCGCCCCCTGAGGGGCCTGTTTTCCACCACCACCACCATGAGTTGGAGGGGGAGGTGGTCCTCCTTCTCCTCCTCCTCCACCTCCACCTCCTCCTCCGCCTCCGCCTCCTCCTCCTCCTCCTCCTCCGCCTCCTCCTCCACCTCCGCCTCCTCCTCTTCGTCCTCCTCCTCCTCCTCCTCCTCCTGCCTCCTCCACCCCTCCACCTCCTCCTCCGCCTCCTCCTCCTCCTCCGCCTCCTCCACCTCCTCCTCCTCCTCCTCCTCCTCCTCCTCCTCTCCTCCTCCTCCTCCTCTCTTCGTCTCCTCCTCCTCGTCCTCCTCCTTCGCCCCTCCAACTTATGGTGGTGGTGGTGGTGGTGGAAAACAGGCCCATCACCCTCGATGTGGTTGTGGCCGCCTGCTGTGCCCGCAGGCACCGTGGCCCTGTACAAGCACCGCACCTCGCTGCTGCAGGCGGCGCCCGCCGAGGCCGGCGAGGCCGCCGCCGGCGCTGCCGACGGAGGGGTCGCGCGGGGGCAGCGGCGGCAGTTTCGGTGGCGGATCCTCCTCCTCCTCCTCCTCCTCCTCCTCCTCCTCCTCCTCCTCCTCCTCCCCCCTCCTCCCCCCCTCCTCCTCCTCCCCCCCCTCCTCCTCCTCCTCCTCCTCCTCCTCCTCCTCCTCCTCCTCCTCCTCCTCGTCCTCCTCGTCCTCCTCCAGGGGAGCCGTGCGCGTCCTCGTCGCTCCGTCTTCAGGGGCGCGCGGGAGCGCGCCAGCCGGCGTCTGGCAGCGACGGCAGCTTCGGTGGCGGATCCGGGGAGCCGTGCGCGTCCTCGTCGCTCCGTCTTCAGGGGCGCGCGCGAGCGCGCCAGCCGGCGTCTGGCGGTCGAGGCGGCAGCGCCGACCTAGCGTCGATTGGCATCGATTTCGCGTCGGCCAGCGTCGATTCGCAAGGGCCAGCAGAATGGCATGGGAGGCTCCCGTGAGTCGCCGCCGAAGGCAGCGCTGACGCGCCGCGCGGAGGGCCAGGCGAGACAACGGCAGCCCTCCCTGGCGCTCCTCCGTCCTCTCTGGGCCTCTGGGGGGCTGCTCGACGCCACGGCCGGAGTCCAGGTAGGTCGACATTCCCCCCCCCTTCAAGCAGTGGCGAAGCGTCCGGGCTCGCCAGTAGGCCCACCAAAGAATGCTCTAAGAACCTTTTGTGGTCTGCGCGAGATGTTCTTAGAGCATTTCTGGCTGAGACTGTCTTGTTTCAACACACCGGGCTGACGTTCTAAGAACGCTGCCTCTGTCATTCGAGCACTTATGGGTTCTGAGAAACTGTCGGATTCGAAGAAGATTCCGTGGGAGGCCCCTAGGAATGCCGGGGCGGTCGGTCCCTGCTCAACCCCCTCAGGTCGTCGACTCCTTTGCCGCCTTCACGGAGGCCGCGGCCGTCGGCGAGCAGCTGCTCCGCCTACGCGCCGACGAGGGCCGCTCGCGCTTCCTGGTGCTGCCGGGCCACCCGGACCCCGCGGGCGGGGCCCCGCCCGCCGGGCCAGCGGGCGGCGCCGGCGAGGCCGAGGCCGTGGAGGTGCGCATCATGGTGCCGGAGATCGCGGGCGGGGAGTCCCAGACATCGGGCGTCTCGAAAAAAACGAGACGACGGCTTTTCGTGGTTTTCGGCCTCTCGAGGCCCTCGCCGGGACTCGGGACCGTCAAAAAACGACTCGAGACGAAGAACCGGCCCCGGGGAAGTGGTCGGGAGGTCGGGGGCCCGTGTCTCGAAAAAATCGGGACGTCGGATGTCTGAGGTCGTGTGGGACGTTCTCGGCCACAAAACAAACGACACCACCCCACCTACGGCCATGTTGCGCTACGGCTCATCGGGGGCCGTAGCGTACACCATGCAGGAATCCACGCTGGACGTCCTGGTATACGCTAAGCCCCGTGGGGCCGTAGGTGGGGTGGTGTCGTTTGCTTGTTTTTGTCCAGTTCTAACGTGGATGGGAGCAATCAGCGCGAGACTGACTCGCAACGCTGACATTTCGCTGTTCAAAAGTCCACGGGTTCCGAGCTGGGCACGGGCGGCGGCCGTCGCCGAACATCTAGAAAATCAGCGCGAAGCACAAGCGCAGGCTTATGAGCTCCATGTTGTCGTGGTCCCGACTGCACTCATTCTCTTTGAGCGGCGGAGTTCCAACGTTAGGATTTGGTCTCGCATTAATAACCTACATCCACAGCAGCAAGGGCCTCATCCTCCGCGCGTCTCGCCCTGGGCGGAAGCCAGCGGAGGGAAAACGGAAGCGCCGTACCGTGGCAAGACATGGGCCTTGCTGTTGTGAGCCCGCTCTATGTAGAGGGGGGATGTTGCTCACCCCCGCGGGGTAGTCGTTTACACTTCGCTCACCCGCGCGGGGCAGTCGTCTACACTCAGTCTCATCCCCCGCGGGTAGTCGTCTACCCCCTTTTTGAGACAGTGCTTTGTGACACATCGTTTCCATACTTTTCCTGATCCTAAGAAGGATGCTGATGATGGCGGTGGCGATGGCGATGTTGCTGGCGGTGACCAGTCGATGATGGTAATGGTGAATGTTCCTGGGTCGGCATGCGAACTCCTGATGTGATTGCAACGGGATGCTTTGACGGTGTGGAACTATTGAATAGGGGAACGAACAATGATACAAACATAAAAACTCGGAGGTCCGCGCGATTTCTGGGATCGGCGCTGGGCCCCCCCTGGCGGCGCCTCTGGCGCCGCTCCTGGCGCGCTCCGCGCGCCAGGGAGGGGGGGTCCAGCGCGGCTCCGAGAAATCCGCGCGGACCTCCGAGTTCTTATGGTTATGCCATTCTCCGGTTCCCCATTGAAATCGCCAGGGTTGTATTTTCGTGGCTCGGGATTTCCAGACGTCGCGGGAGTTCCTTCTCCTCGCCCCCCTCGCGCGCGGCCCGGCGCCGTCCATTCCTCGTTCACCCCCCGTGCGCGGCGCTGTGTGCTGCCCGCTCCCCTTGCCGAAGGCCCCAGGGCCAGAGCTCGGCCAGAACCGATCGTGCTGGTAGTGCACGGGGTGGTACACCGTCCGCGGGGAGAGAGCACGGCCGCCGCGACTAGAATGGAACCAGGAGCAAACCTCAACCGATGCGACACAGGAAAACCAGCGTTTTGCAACCTCGTCGGCTCAAAGATTTTCATCAGCCGTCCCCTTTCCGACCTGGGCCGCAATTCCCAGCCCGACCGTGCGCGATGGCTTCCGTGCGCCGTCTGCCAGTGTCGCCACAGTGTCCAGCAGCGCCTCGACCACCCGGTACGAGAACCAGACGGTAGAGGGAAACAATTAGTGAACACCCCCCTTGCCCCCAAAACTCAAAGTTGGCACGTGCGGGGAAGACTGCGGTCGAGGTGCAACTCATCAGACCCACCGCCAACTTTGAACATTGGGGGGAGGGGGAGGCGTTCACAGATGAATGTGGCATGAGTGTTCGCTGTTTTTTTTTCCGAGGCCTGGAATGGTGTTGCGACCACCGAGGGCAACCATGTTTCCGCCTACGGCCGTGGGCACCTGCGTCCTCGCAGCCGTTGCCAACCACGCTTTTCCGCTGTGGACCACCACGCTTTCGGTTACGCAGCCAACAGGGTGGAGGGCACGACTGCTGCGACGATGGCACGGTGCAGTTCTGTCTGTCGTTCTGCGTCGGTGAGGTGAGCGCGGACCAGCGGCCCGTCTGGTCTGAGCTTCCACGCGCTGGGAGCAAGAGGAACCCGAGCTACTTGGAGGTGCAAAGACACAGGGGGAGGTGCAGCGCCTTCGGCGGGCACTACGCGCGGTGCGTCTTTGGAGATGCTGCTCGTGCTCCCGAGTTGCCGCCGTCGCCTCGCCAGGGATCTCTTATTGGGTGACACGCACGTTGACTTCCCAGCTCTCGCTGTTGGGCATTCCCTCGCTTGCGACTGACCCAGGCCTGGGGGGGGGATGGGAAAGAGGAGGCGCAGGAGGAGGAGGAGGAGGAGGAGGAGGAGGAGGAGGAGGAGGAGGAGGAGGAGGAGAAGGGAGAGAGGAGGAGGGAGGGGAGGGAGGAGGAGGAGGAGGAGGAGGAGGAGGGAGGAGGAGGAGAGAGGAGAGGAGGAGGAGGAGGAGGAGGAGGAGGAGGAGGAAGGAGGAGGAGGAGGAGGAGGAGGAGGAGGAGGAGGAGGAGGAGGAGGGAGAGGAGGAGGAGGAGGAGGAGGAGGAGGAGGAGGAGGAGGAGGAGGAGGAGGAGGAGGAGAGGAGGAGGAGGAGGAGGGAGGTGGAGGAGGAGGAGGAGGAGTTGGAGGAGGAGAAGGAGGAGTTGGCCAGGCTGGAGGCGCACCCTCCCGGGGCAGGAGGGCCCCGAGAGGTCGCCGCACACGGTCTGTGCCTCTCCCTAATGAGAGGCACGTGGCGAGAGATGCCGTGAGCCATCGCTCCCCCGAGGCACAGCACGGGGTTGCCCCGAGTTCCGCCGACCGGCCAAGGTCGGGTAGCTTCTGTTCCGTCGTCGGCCGCGCGGCCGGGACAAAGTTCCTCCCTCGCCCTCGCCGACGTGCGAGTCGCTGCTCGTCGGAGTGTCTGGACGGCCAGCCACACCCGAAGGAGGGGCCAGGGGCGCCGCTCCCGCAGTGCCGTCCTCCGAGGAGACGGGGGCGCGCAGGGGCGAGACGGGGGGGTCCGCAAGGCCAACGCCTTCGTGACCCAGCCCTGCCACTCCTTCTCCTCCTCCTCCTCCCCCTCCTCCTCCTCCAGCCGCCGCCACGGCCCAGACACCAGCGAGCGGCCCATCCATACCCACAGTCACCACAAATCTTTGACGTGTGGAACATAGGGCGCATCGACGGGAACGGGGCCGCTCAGGGCGGCGCCGTGAATACTCACATAGCAGTCCGCTACCGTACCCCCGCCGAGTTGATGTGTTTTTTTTTCCCTGCTTCCTCTTACATTGCTCGCTGTGCCATATCCGCCTCTCCGCCGAGGAAAGCAACACGAGGATAGTGTACCACAATGTGAGGGGGGCGGACTTCACCCGCCTCGAGCAGATATCGATGCAGAGGGCCAACGGCGACGTCGACGGAGCCATCGGCACGGGCAGGGCAGCGCGAGACACGGGCTACACGAAGTACCAGCTGCCAAACCACCAATGTATCCAGTTCGAGTGGAGGAAGGTGGCTGGCGTCACCAACCTATGCGGACTGGCAGTATTACCGAATAAGGGGCTCAGCGGGAGTGCCCAGAGAACGGTCGCGCCGCCGACGACTAGTGGCATCACAGGACGGAATGGCATGATTACAGACAGCGTGAGCACAATAGACGTGGAGTCGTTCCCCAACTTTATTCCACCGAGGGGCTTGGCGGCCGTCAACCAGAGCGAGCTTGACAAGCTGGGTCGCAACAGCCTCCCCATCATTTCAGGCGACTACAACTGCGTTTTTGGAATACGCCGAGACACAACAGGAAAACAGTACATCGAGGCCACCGAGTCTAGCGGTACAGAGGGGCCCGCCCTAGAGAACACCATCAGCTTGCAGAGGCGCGGCCTCATGGATGACAACCACTTGGCGATTGAGGAAACTTTCAAGCGGACAGGGAAGATCTACTACAGAGGCGCCTACACAAGCAACGTAGACCATGATGCATTGCCCGCGATAACCATGTGGAGAGCTCGCCAACATAACCCCTTGGCTGGCCTGGCGCGACATCTCCAGCTACACGACCCCGCGCACCTGACCGACCACGTGCCGATCTACATGAATCTGGATGTGCACAACGCCAAGACCCACACCAGCAAGCTCACGTCACACGCCAACTGCGACCTGATGAAGATCGCTTTCACACGGGACTACAAGCGCCTGGCGCTCTCAAAAAAAATACGGGAGAAGACCCAGCAGAAAGACGAGATGGAGTGGCGCAAAGCCTCGGACCAAGGCAACGTTCAAAAGTGGTGGGACATACCTTCTAACAATATTCGTGACATCTGGCAGGAGATGTTCCCCAAACAGGAACAGGCCAACATCAGATACGACGAGATTGGGACGTTGGAAATCGATCGGCTCCTCGAGCTCCCGAGCGTTATGAGCGGCGGGGGGCTCACAGCGCACAGTACCCATCGAGACCTCCACAGCCCCGAAGGCGCCCTACGAGCAGCCCGACTACAGAGCGATGCTGGAGAAGTCGACGACGACAGCAGCTTCACAGGCGAGTGCGTATGCACGCACGAGACGGGGGAGGAGGGCGAGGGCAGATGCTGCGGAATGACACTGAAGAAGCAAAACAAGTTCGCCCCGCGCACAGGGATGCCAGTATCACAATGGGACGACGGGCAGAGTTGGCCGCCACAGCTTGGAGGAATGCAGCGCGAGAACATTGATTGGCAGACATGGATCGCCGACCGCGCCTTCAAGCCGTGCACTTACGATCCCTTGCACGCAGACGACTTCGGAGATCAGATTCGCCAGGACCGTGAAGGCCAGAATCGATACCTACGCAGAGCCCCCAAAGGACGTGCAGGACCAGTACGAGGAGTGCTAGCGGAGGCACCATGCATGTGCAGAGATAGGCGATATCGCGAGAACGAGAATGAACGGAAGTACAACCCAGAGCATTTTAGCAGACGGTATGATGATTTACACGCGCTGACTCGCCTGGAAGGGTCAGCCCCACTGAGCACCACTTGGTGGCAGTCGATTTCCCAGGACAAGGGCAATGAGAAGACCGAGAACCAAGCGCCGCGAGAATATGGACGAGCAGAAGCAACCTCTTTCCAGATCCATGATCGTCAGCACGAACGTGTGTGACTGGTGCCGTACAGCATTTGCGAGCAGAGCACCACGTTTGCGCTACAGACTCAAGCGACCACAACGACGAAGAGAGAGTGCCGAGGCAGATGACGACACCCAACAGCGCGCAGATGATCAAGCAGCTGTCAGGCAGCCAATGGGACTTCGTCCTGATCGCTGGCGAATACTCAGCAGTGGCCGCCGCGGGAGCAGCGGACACAACCTACGGGGAGAAGGCCGAACAGAAGAACAGCAAGGACCTGGGGCCACCGCACCTCCACATCGGCGTAGACTTCTGCCTGGAGACGGGGCTCAACGACAGGTCCGACGAAACCAACAAGACGATCCCGAAGGTGAATTGCTCGATGATCTACGTGATGGGCATGCAGGGCTTCAGGGACATCGCCTCGCATATCAAAGTCAAGAAGGCCTACAGCGAAGGGGGGCAGCTATAGAGATGGAAGCTCTAGCCGATGCTCAACAGCCTCGCATGCAGCCCTCGGACATTCTCATGGGAGGACCAGATCAACGCCTCTCGCGAAGGAAGCCAGGGGCCGCCCGTCAAGACCAGCCGCGCCACGCAGACTTGGGACCTCAGGGAAGCCGTCGTGGACACCCTCAGAGCGGCAGAGGCAGTGCAGATATTCGGAGCATCGCCGTTATCAGGGCTCCTGAGGAAAGTACAGGCAGCACTGCGAGTACGTCAGCTGGCGATGGACAGATAGAGATGACAGAACGTAGAGAGCTAGCCAGGGCTGGCAGTCGCTGGGCGATGGGCCGCTGCGACGCACCATCCACCCGTGATGGCCCCGCTCGCCCTCGTTTACGCGAAGTCGTTGAGCACCCGCCTCTGGGTTTTAGGCGCCAAAGGGTGCCTCTCTTTTCTTCTCTTCCTGGTTCCCGAGGCGTCCGCCTGTTTCGGTTTGTTCCCTCGTGGGCCTCTGGGCCCGTCGCGTCACGGGAACCTGGACCTCGGGACCAGACATGTGCACAACGACGGAGCGCGCATCAGCTTTAGAGGATTTGGGGGGGGGGGAGGGCGTGGAGTGGGCGGGAGATGGCGGCGGCGGGAAAACTGCTACACTGGGACACGTCCCGAGCCAGGGGCGATTGGCCCGACGGCCCTAAGCCCCTGTCGTTTCCATAACGATTTTGTTTTGGGGAAGGCCCCGCGCTGCAGCGGGCCGAAAGGCTAAAAAGCCAGGGTCCCGTAGGCGACCCGTCGATCCGTCGATTTGACGCGCCAGCAGCAATAGGTTCGTATGCAGTCGAACCCCAGACAGCTGCCAAGGCTTCCTCCTCCTCCTCCTCCTCCTCCTCCTCCTCCTCCTCCTCCTCGCTCCTCTTCCTCCTCGCTCCTCCTCCTCCTCCTTCCTCCTCCTCCTCCTCCTCCTCCTCCTCCTCGCTCCCTCCTCCTCCTCCTCCTCCTCCTCCTCCTCCTCCTCTCCTCCTCCTCCTCCTCCTCCTCCTCCTCCTCCATTCTCGATATGAAAAGCCCTGTCGCGCGCCGCGCGTCGACTGCGTTTTGCCCGATAGGCCTCGCACGAGGCGTCTGTCAGGAAGGTGCACTGGGCGCAGTGGTGTGGAGCACAAGCGACAGTAGCACGGCGGGAACGGCGGCCGGCTCCGCCGGCGGAAGCCCACGGAAGGTTGGCAGAGGGCGGCGGAAGCAACAGCGAGGCGTCAACATCTGTGGGGTCCGGGGCTTCCAGGGCTAACGTTCCGTGTCGACGGCCTCGCGGCCTGGACCCATCGGCCGCGCCCACGGGTTCGCATGCCTGCGGGGTCGCGCCCGTCCAGGCCGCGAGGGTGTGGGCATGGTTTCTGGTTTGTGCCCGTCGCCCGCGAGGAGATACTTGCGCTGGGACCCTGGCGGCACGACTCCTGCCCAGAGGGGGAGCCGCTGCTGCCCGGCGCGGCCGGCGGCGCCGCGGCCCGCGCCGCGCGCGTGTGCTACCGCCGCCGGCCGTGCGCTGCGCAGGCGCCCGATTGCTGCGTCGTGGTCGTTCCGCAGGCGTCGTTCGCGGCCTGCTGTGCCGAGCTGGACGGCTGGGCCGGCAGGCTGCCCCCATCGCGGAGGGAGGAGACGCAACGCCGCCACCACCATCGATGATCCTCAGGACGCGTGTTAGCCCAATGTGTGTGTGTGTGTGTGTCTGTGTGTGTGTGTGTGTGTGTTTACCCCCTTCGGCCCAACCAGTAGATTATTACGTCGCCTGCGTCGTATCGAAGAGCCTCGATGGACAGACGCACGTTGGGGCTAGCATGCGTTCTGAGGAGCATCGGCACCAGCAGGCCACCCCCCGCGAGAGGGTCCACGATGCGTCCCGTGCGAGTGGGAGGGTGGCGAGTTCTTGAGCGGGACGCCGCACCACGGCGCGGGGGAGGGGAGGGAGGGCAACGGCCAGACCTTCCGTGGCTCCTCGCGGTGGTGGTGGTGGTGGTGTTAGTTTTCTTTGCTCCTGCCATCGCTGGCGCGAGCGCCCATAGCAGCGCCGGACGGGCTTGGCGCCTGGACTATGTCCCTCCTGCCGCGGACGCCCGACGACGGAGGCGGCGAGTGGTGAGGCGGGTTCGGGGAGCTCGGCGTCCAGTGCCTCCCTCGACCATGTCAGTCTTGCCGCGGACGCCCGACGATGGGAGCGGCGAAAGGTGAGGCGCCCCTTTCACTCGTGAACGCGTTGCTCCTCTTCTCTGGCTCCTCCTCGTCCTCATCCTGCTTGCTGCTGGTGTTAGCTGTGGTTGCTGTTGTTATACGATTGAAGACGAAGAGGGCGGGTATCGAGGGTTTGGGATATACGTCTTGAGTGGCCCGCGAGCAGATAAGAGCGATCAGTCTTAAAAAAAAGTGGTGTTGATGTTGTTATTGTTGTTGTTGGTGATGCTGTTGGGCTTGTTGTTGTTGGTGGTGGTGTTGTTGGTGGTGGTGGTGTGGTTTTCGTTGTTGCTGCTGCTGCCGTTGCTGTTGCTGTTGCTGTTATTGTTATTGCTGCTGCTGTTGTTGGTATTGTTGAAATCCCATCCCTGAAAAAAAAGTATTGTTGATCCCCCTTCCGATAACCGTAGCATGTTTCCATTACAATATTTCTCCCGAGGCGGCTCGCACCCTGCTTTTTTTAAAAGGGAAGGCGAGGGGCCACCAAACGCCCCGAACTACAACAACGGCTCCCGCCTGATACTTCTTCACCATGTATTCCCAAAGCGCGCTCTCGCGCGGGACTTCCTCACAATGTATACAAGAATCGCGCTCTTGCGTGGGAAATCCTCGCAATTGATTCAGACGCCGCGTCCTCGACACTCAGGAATCACGCCCTCGCTTTGGATTTCCTCGCGATTTATTTGAGAATCGTGGTACTGCTTGAGACGTCCTTGCGACATGCAGGACGCACGCTTCAGCAACCCGCCTGCCCTTTGTCCCTTCCTTTCGTCCGTCCTTTCTTCCCCTGCCTTAGGGCTGCACGAAGTACACGTGGCAGGTACAAAGGAAGATATTGGTGTTGGTGAGCTTGATGTTGCTCTTGTTGTTGTTGTTGTTGTTGGTGGTGGTGGTGGTGGTGGTGGTGGTGGTGTTGTTTTTGTTGGCGTGAGTGTTGTTGTTATTGTAAGTGTCAATGTTATTGCTGATCTTGGTGTTGCATGTGTGTTGTGAATGAGAGGCATCAAGCCCCGTCGTTACTGTCCCCTCCTCCTGCTCCTTGCTTTTCCTAGCTCCTCCTCCTCCTCCTGCGCAACCCTCCTTCTCCTCCTGGCTCTTCCTCGCTCCTCCTCGCTCCTCCTCCTCCTCCTCCTCCTCCTCCTCCTCCTCCTCCTCCTCCTCCTCCTCCTCCTCCCCCTCCTCCCCCTCCGTAGCCATTTTGGCTCAAGATGCCAAGTTCCTCAGGGGAACAAGTGGATACCGCTAGTCCGCGGCGGGCAAGACCCTTGTGGTCTGGCAGTGCTTTGCATCGCACCTGCGCTCGGGTCGGTGGGTAAACGGAGGCTTTTCCCGTTCCTGCCTGCTCGAACGCTCCGAGTTCTTCATGGGCGGCGGCCGCAATGGAGGTCTTCCTGCCATCCGTGGCCCCAAGAGGAGGAGCAAGAAGGCACGCCGTGGCCAACCTGATGCTCCTGCTGGTTTGGGTGCCGACGCAGATCATGATGATGGGACAAATGCTGATTCTGACGATCCTGCTCCCCCTGCTGCTACTGGTACCTCCGCGGTGTCCCCTGTGGCTGCAGACGAGACTGACGTGGACATCAACAGCGAGGATGAGTGGACCAAGGACGATTCCATCAAGCAAATGGCTGCAGACTGCGTCGCTCAGAAAATGGCCGAACACAGGGACGAGCTCATCCGCGACCTCACAAATGTGGTCTCCGCGACGGTCTCCGACCAGATCCAGGATTCCGCTGCTCAGCTTACTAAGCATTCTCGTGCTGCTGGGCAATTGGCTGAAGGCGTCCAACAACTTCCAGCCATGGCCAAGCAAGCCTCTGAGCAGTTCTGCTCCGAGAAGCTGGACGCCTTCCACCGCAAGTTCCAGGAACAGATCGACGGCCACTCGGTGCGCATGCGATCCGTTGAGCACAGGTTGGATGGAAACGACTCTGAACTACAGGCGCTACGTAATCAAATTCAAGAACTCCGCGATGCCCCGCCCTTGCCAACGTCAAGCCCAAGCCCCCCCTACCAGCGCTGCAGGCTTTGACAGAGACATCGGATCCACAATCATCCGCGCGATGGCTTCCAAGCTGGTTGAGTTATCGTCGTTTCAGCAAATCATGTCGGAATGGGTCATCAGCTGCGGGGTCAAGTCTGAGTTCTTCTCGACTACCTCAAGCAAGCAGGTCGCCAAACAGTTCACTATCCAATTCTCTGGGGCTGCGGGCCCCGCTGCCCGTCGTGCCTCGCAGGTTCTGGGCGCCCAGCGCCTTGCCCCTGGCCAGTGGAAACGCTTCGAGGTCATGGCCATGGACAACCAGATGGCGACGCTTCATATTGGTGCCGACAAGAACCCTAGACAGATCAAGCTGGAGATCCAGGGCCGCAAGCTCAAAGAAGCATTCCAGAACGCGGCCAGCGACTAGCGTTGGTTCTTTGATCGTGACAGAGGGTACCTCATGGCTGGACGGGATCCTTTTCTTCGTCCCTCGCCTAACCCAGGGAACATCCCATCGGAGATCGCGTGGGCCGACAACATTGCGCAAAAGCTGGCCCTTCCGAAGGGGAGGCTGGCTGAGGCGGCCATGGGCATCATCGCGCCACCCGGGGCAGCAGAGCGGTCTATTTAAACGGTTCGCTGCTGCGATTCATGGACAACTTGCAAACCCGCCGTCTTTCTCCTTTTCTCCTTGGGATACCCGCGCCCCACTTCGATGTCATGGTCACGCTGCTCGGCAGAAGCTCGCGCATCTCAAGCGCCTGAACCTCGCTTGTGGCATTGTGGCCCTTCAGGAATCGCATCGGGACAAGAAGCAGCTCAGTGACTTTCTCGCTAAGGTGGCACCGACAGTACGAGTATGCACCAGGTGCTGCGAGGGGTCTGCAGTAAGGGGCGGTGTAGCGACTATTCTTCCTGCAGATTGCCGCGCGGAGGTTTCTCAGCGCCCGCTGGTTCATGGGGGAGTGCTACGAGTAGCGCTGCGACTGGATGGCTTCAGCATCTACCACTACAATGTACACAACCACGATCTGACCTTTGGCCAGCTCAGTCGGGCATCGAAGGCGTTAACCTCCTGACCTGGAGTTGGCACGTCATGACCCACTACGCCGTGAGGTTTTTTTCTACATGGCGACCTCAATGTTGCTCCGCGTGCTCTTCTCCTTCTTCGCCAGCCTCATCGCCGTCTAGCTCAAGGCAAAGGCCAACGCGCCCGGGCTGCGAGATGGACTGCCGCGCTGAAGTCCATGTTGGAAGTCTCCTCTGACGAACCCACACACTATGATCGTCGCTCTCATTCTGTAGCCATCTTGGACAGGTTCTGGTGCAGCTGGCCTGGCTGGATTATGGCGCAGCTCACTGCTGAGCCAATGGTGATCGATTGCCCTGAGCACCTCGCCGAGCACGGTGTCAGCGATCATGCTGCGCACGTCGTGAAGATCACGCAGCGCGCTCCAAAGCCTGCGCGTGCTCATCGTATCCCTAGGCGCCTGTTCGAGAACGAAGAGTTCCAAACACAGCTCAACATCGTTTGCGGCAAACTCAACTATGCGGACAAAGCCCCCCCCCGCCAGATCGAACTTCACAAATGGGCAATCCGTGAAGTAGCTGCTGACTTTCGTGATCGGCAATTTCACCAAGCTCCCGAGGCTAATTCTACTCTCTTACTGCTTGCGAGGCAGATCTCCAGGGTTGTCTGGCGCAACGACCACAAGCTCGCTCACGAGCTTATAACCAATCATTCGGCGGCCTACGATTTCCTCGAGATCCAGAACAACATCGCCCGTCTTCGTCATCCCTCTTCTTCCCAACACTGGTGTGATACGATTCAACGCCGCCATGCTGATCAGCTTCGCACGCGGCTTGAAGAACGGTTGGCTTGCCCCCGTGCCCCACGGGCTCTTCGTCATCAGCTTGCAGCGGTTGAACGGCGTGCCGGCATCTGGTCTCCACTGAATCGAAGAATGGGGCTTCGAGCGGTCAAGCACCCGTCTGACCCAACGTGCATTTCCCACGACTCCGCGACCATGACCGACCGCCTGATGGAGCACTGGGCCCCCATCTTCTCTGCCAAGCCGATCGATCTCAACCGTGCTCAAGCCTACATCGAGCAGCATGTCCCGATACTGGACTTGTCCAAAGTTGCACCACCATCCCCTGCTCTACTTCGCCGCGTCGCCAACAAGATGCACCGCTCCGAGCCGGGTCTCGACTCCATCCCTCACTCGGCGTGGGTTGCCACGGATGTGGGTATTCAAGTGCTATCGGATGCGATGATATGGATAATGCAGGGTCAATCTCTCTTCAATAGCTCCAATGACACGCTGCAGGTCTGGCTCCCCAAGGGCGAAGAGGTTGACGACTCCTTGGCTACTGGCTGTGCGCGCTCCCCTAGTGCTGTGAGAGTACTGGGTCTGCGGAACACGGACATCAAGCTGATTACCGCCACTGTCAACATCCAATTCAGCAAGTTTCTCATGGACTGGGCTCCTCGCTCGCAGAGAGGGTTCATCCCCAAGAGGAATTTCGGGGTCAACATCCTCGGGCTTGACGTCACCGCGCGTACATACTCAAACCCGCCAACTGCGAGCTCAGACCTCCCCGCGCTGGTTGCACTAGACTTCGGCTCGGCCTTCCCTAGCTTGGCTCAGTCTTTCATGCTGATGGTCTTTCGGCAAATGCAAGCTCCCCTCGCATTCATGGCTATGCTTGAGCAGCTTTACCATATCTTAGGCGCCATCGTGAAGAAGAATGGGCTCCCTACCTTCGCTTGGCGTATCTCATCTGGCATCATCCAAGGCTGTTCGCTCAGTGGATCGACCTATGCGGCGGTGACCGCCGGTTTCCCCT